TGGAAATTTTTTTGTGTGTGTGTTTCTGTCATATATATTGAATCTATTTAGGTCAGGAAAGCATGGCAATCATGTGTTGAGTATTTATGAGAATTTTTTCAGTTGGAGGTCTGTTTAAACACAGCATTTCTGAGTAAAAGTGGGAAACTCTTTGTGCTCATGACACAGATCTGGAGCTAGACCTCATTCCATACTCTTCCTTATCTGGCTCCAAGTCTGCACCATGGTGCCCGCCCGTGGGACTGTGGTATCCATGCTTAGCTTTCCTTTAACTTATCTATCAAGTTATGTGAACAATGAGCTTATTTCCTTTTCCTCAGTGACCATTCTATGCTCTGATGTTAGCTCTGACAATGAAAACAGAGGAAATGGCAAAACTGGGATTCATATACAATGCGCTGAGCTAGTGTCTGGGATAAGTACAAACAGTCACATGGAGCAAGGTCAGGTAGCTTTGCATCATTGCTTCCTCCAACCCTATTTTCCATCATGCTTGGCTGAGATGAAGGAAAGCAAGATTTACAGTTCTTCAAAACATGTGTACCCTAGGTTTATCTTTGGGAGACAGTCCTTGGAAATCAGTTGGGATGACAGTGTTGGCACACTGAATGGCCATTTCCATCGTGGCGAGGCTTTGTCGTTTTGTCTTACGAATGGAAGCACTTTATTTTGAGGGGGAAATATCAAGCATCTTTAGTGCCCATCTACTTAATGGTTCAATAGTCAGTGCAGGCTTTTGAGTTTCTTGCTTCTTGCATATGCATAGAAAGAACAAAGTGTCCACTTGGTTTTAGCAGATTCATGGCCCCTAGTTACATTTCCTCATCTTTGAAAACAGGGTGTAGATGCTAAAAGGGAGAATTGGATGTTCATAGAGCTCTCTGCGCAGTTGTAGAGCACAGCCATGCTGAGTGTAGTCGGTGAGTTGTTGAGTCTAGGTCCGGGATGCAGATAATCTGTGCAAGCCCCTGCAGGTGAAGGGAAGACCAAGAGCACATGATTCTCTCAGTGTATGCTGGCGTTTCCCGTGTACTTCTAGGGCACGCTCTTCCTGTGTATTTTCATTCACCTGCTCTTGTATTTACTGTAACCGTGCCTGTGGGGGTGGCGGCATTTGTGTCTTAATTGTGCAACTTGTGGAGGAGGATGCATTTTGTGTATTTCCCTGACCTACACTGTCTTCTGTTAGCTTTAAGAAGACAGTTCTTAGATGTTTGTCTAAATTCCTCTATGAAGTATTTCTTTCTTATTGTTTTTCTTCCCTGAGTTCTTTCTCTTTTAAAAACAAACAAACCCCACAAAAGACAACCAACTAAAATGGTTTTCCTGGGAATCTCAGAGTTGTTGGGTTTGGAAAAAACAAGGTTTTCATGTAAACTCCATAAAAGTTCTGTTCATAAAGTGAAAGTGTCTATGTTCTTTTTGACATCTGTTTCATGTGGCCTCTTACTGAGTTGGAGTTTATTTTCTTGGTACATAGTTTGTAAATGTTAGGTAAGGAGTATCAAGTGGTAAGCTGATTAAAAATGGCCTTTGATTTCCTAGGAGATAGACAATCATGACAGAAAAAAAATGGAATTAAATTATCCAAAGCTCACAATGAATTTTGTTGTAAAATTCTGCAATTAAAACCTAGAGAAGCTCTGTCTAAAGTTGTTTAACCCACAGGGACATTTTGTAGCTATGGAATCCTATGATGGGATCCTACTAAACGCACTTAGCCTGAGGCCTGACGGATGAGTCAGTGGTTGCTGCAGTGCAGGTTACAGGCAGGGCCCAGAGCAGGTGCCCAAAGTGTAGAGGAGCTTAGCAATCAGACAGTGAAGAAACCTAAGTTCAGATCTTGCTCAAGTCACATGTAAACCCTGGCCAGATGTCACTGGAAGTAAGGACTCATCAGACTGAATTTTCATTGAGACATACATAGCAAAAGCCATTGTTTTCCTTATTTACCTGTGTTTTATATATGTATCTCATTCTCCAAGTATATAAATAAATTGCTGCTGTATCATCATAAAACCTGGGGAAACTCTGCCTAGAAGAAATTGAACTTGAACCAACAGAATTGTTGCCAAAGCACAAAAGTCCCCAAGGGACCATTTGTATAATGGTCAAAAACTGTGGTTCTTACATTCTTTCAAGACATATTTAAATCAGTCTACGGCACTGTTGGAAGATGTTGCATTTATTGTTAACCATCTTAGCACGACATAACATATATTAAGTGAGACAAAAAGATACTAATAATTAAAAAATAAATTAATAAAATTTAAAAACTTTGGTCTGACACTGTTTTTCCCTATGTGTTTATCCCCACACACACTGTGTGCTTTTTTTAGAAGAATAAATAACGTGGATTTTGACCTTAAGCTCTTCTCTCTGTTTTATTTTTCCCCCACAGTCTAATGGGATTGCAGCTATCATAGCTATTTTGGTGTTGTTGCTGCTATTGGGTGCTGCCTTGATGTGGTGGTTTTGGCCCCTTTGCTGCAAAGTGGTAAGATGAACTTCGAACTATGCTCTTATTTATTTTTTTAAAACAGTGTAATACAAAGCTAGGTCCCACATGTGAAGGAATGTCATGTGGTATGGCGACAGCAAAGTTTTAATTGAAAACATGAATCTCAATTATTTTACAACTATAGTGAATTCTAGAAAACACGCTTGTCTGTATCCAGCATAAAACTCACCACAAGGGCACTTAGGAACTCAGGTTTGTGGGAGGAAGTGTGTGGGGTTGGGATAGTTGGGACAAAAGATATTTCCACTGAAGTTGATGAGAGCAGCTGTTTTAAAGTTCTCACTGAGTGGACATCTTTGAAGGTGTATTGGCATAGGATGTTCTTTTATCTTTCCCTGGTAACATGTTTTAAAGATAAGTCCAAGGCAGAAGTTAGGCTATCAGCTAAATAGTTATTTTTAGAGAGAGTGAAGCAGCTCAGTTTATGCCATTTTCACGCCGACAAAGTTTGGTATTGCGGAGTTCCTTGCCGCCCACTGCCCGCTTGACTTGTAAAAGCACTCCACACTGTTACCTAATGTTGATTGCACTACAGCTCTTCATAGATCACATGGGGCTCTCCTGGGCTGGCAGGCTTCCCTGAAGCTCTGGGGCAGAGTCTGTTTCCTTATCACATTCTGTTTGAAGAGGCACTCTCATTCCTTGCCTTGTGATCTCTTTCATCACCCTCAGAACCAGTACCACTGTGTTATATTCCCTTGGTAATTGCTCTGCATTTGCATATAAACTGAATCCACGTGGGGAAGGCTGCCTGATGTTAAAGGCCAGTATGTCCCAGGTGAGCCCATTTGGATTTGGTAGCATCACCTTCCATCACAGGGCTGTTAATCCTCACAGGTCTACAACCCCTGCCAGCTTAGGTAGTTTATTCACAGTACCAGGGAATTAAGTTATAGATATGGCTACAGAGGTGTTATTTAGCTTCCTATGTGATACCTATATATAACTTAGACATAAGAGCATAACTTCTATATTAGAGTGTTTCACTTAATCCCTTTTATCCAGTGCTTATAAGGCAACATTATTCCAGGAAAAATCTTTCACCGTGTTCCTGTTACTTGTTTAGAGAGCGTTCCCATGCAAGCACACGCTCTGTGTCTCGTGGGAGTGTCTCATAGCAAGCCACCTTCCCCCACTTCACCTTTGCTAACTGATTTCAGCTTCCCACGCCATCATGCCGCGCTTTGTCTTCTGTCAACATTTCTTATTAACTGTACCACAGTCTGTTTTCATGAGGCAGCCTTAGGATCCTTTTACCTCAGGGTTGTTTTCCCAAGGAGGAGGCCCGGAATTCACTCAGACAGCAGGAAGGATGAGACTCTCCCCGTCTCTTTGCTGAACTCATCAAGTTTCTGCCATAGCAGTTTATGCTCAAAAAGTTTCCGGATATAATCTTGATTACCTTAGATACAGCTATTTTGGGGTGGATGGCATTCTTGAGTCTCAAATTAAAGAGCAAAAAGGTGCCCTAATGTGGTTTGAGCTCCTTGCATTTTTAATTTAACTTTTACGGTGGCAGATTTCCTCCCTTCATTAGTTTATAATTTCATTTACTATTGGTCACAGGGTGCAAAAGTATCATACTGTGTAATTGTTCTCTTAAAGATACATGAAAAATAATCTGAAATGGGCCATTTTTAGGAAATCGTTTTATATATATATTTTGAACTGGAGGTTTAGAACATAATTTTGGATATTATAAAGGAGATCCTATCATCAGTTGGTAAGAACAGGTCCATTCTAAGCCGAGGCTCTGCAGATAATAAACCATGAAACTGTGTTTGTGTAAGGCGTTGAGGAATCCCTTCAGTTATGTTGTAGGATTTCGGAAAGAGTCCCTAGCTTCCAAAGTAGCATGAATGCTCATTAGGTCTGGAATTTAACAGAGCAGCCACTTTCACTTTCCACCTGGAAGCATGGAATGAACAGAAGCAAGTCCTGAGTGTGAACCTACAGTCACTCACACCTAGGCGGAAGTGAACTGTAGCAAATGTGTTCTAATGGGATTGAAAAGCCGGGGTGAGGCCAGGCAAAGCTCTTCATTCAGCCTTTGGTGAGTATGTTTAGCGTGCAGAAGGTGGCAGCTCCTGTACTAGGAACTGGAGAGTCTTATAAGCCTTCAATACGATGTGAAATTTTATATTTTAACATGTAAAGAAAGGCACGTGAGCCTGAGGTGTAAATAAAGGTCTCTAAGTACTCAACAGCAACATATGAAGAACATCAGGGGCAGAAGAACCCAGCTGAGTCTCTGATCTCAAATATGTTTTGAATAATAAAGAAAATGTACAATTAGTGAGGGACATTTCAGGAGTGTGTGTGTGTGTGTATGTGTGTGTTTGTTATTTTGCAGTGTGCTTTGAAAAGTGCTTGCCTGAGACCAAGTGTGCAACAGTTTGGGTTTTGACCTGACCTTCATGTGGAAGGGTCTCCTGAGTCTTCCAGAAAGTTTACACCCACTGGAGTATGGAAAGTCCCTGGAAAGATTTGCATGGCTTTGAGGACTGAATGACTTAGACTTTTGCAGTAGAGAGATTGTGTTTGTGGTTTAGATGGGCTGTATGCATAACCATAATTCTCAGGCAGAAAACTGAAAAGGGAGAAGGCAGTGTGATGGCGACTGACTGGAATGATGAGGACCTCCAGACAGGGAAAGCTGGGAGAGGCAAGGAGCAGTCTCCACCACAGCCTGCAGAAGGAAGCTGCCAGCCAAGAGCTGATAGTTTAGACTCCTGACTTTCAGAAGTGAATGGAAACAGGTCTCTAGTGTTTTTGATGACTTTCTTGGTCTAACAATGAGAATATGTGTGTGTGTGTGTGTGTGTGTGTGTGTGTATACATAATATCTTTAGACTGATTCTAATATTCCCAAGTTAGAAATGACTGGTTCCCGGTGTTGATTTGGGGAAGGCAGGAGAGATGGCTCTGCAGTAGAGGCACTTGCCACCAATCCTGATGATGAGAGTTCAATATCTGGAAAGACTCAACTGGTTCCCAAAAGTTGTCTTCTCACTTCCGTATTTGCATTACGCTACAGAATAAAAAAGTAAATGTAATAAAAATAAAGGATAGAAGAACCCGGTTTTGGCTTGTTATGACTGTCAAGTAGCCTGTAGAATGTTCACGGACTGAGGAGGTCTGACTTACCGCCTCAGGGTGAGATGGAAACCGTGTTAGAGTATAATTGTGAGAAATATCCTAGAAACATTTTTTATCTGCATCATTAGAAAGCAGGGATCCATGGACAGGTTTCTCAACCTTATACTACTTGTGGGAAATGTCCAGCATGGCTTCATGCAAATTTAGCTGTGGGGCTGTTGATTCTCCCGAAAGCCAGAGACTGGCATTTCGCCTGGCAGAGAGTTTAGCTAAATACTGTATTTATGAAACTAGTATGTGTCTGTTAGCCGTACCAGCTTCGTTCCAGGACACAAGGAACAAAGGGAAATCTGAAGCTTTACTTCCAAACTAGTTTATACTGATTCTGGCCAATAGTATATTTTCTGGTGATATGTAAGTAAGAGTATAATTAAGCAAGCAGTTAGGGTGATTATTTATTTCCAATCTGTCTTCTAGCATAGCTCAGCAAGTTCATGAAGATAGGCAGTGTGTTCTGACTGTAAATATGCCCAGAGATATGAACATAGGAATACCTAACCAATAAATGTTGCCCAGTAAGTACTTTCTCCTGGGGCACATGGAGAGATGCGGTCTTTGTATCTACCTGCATCAACTTTAAAAATAGAGCACTCTGTTGCTCATTATAAAATAACTCCTGTGGAAACAAATTGTGCTGCAAGGCATTTGGGGTTACCTAGGACACCTGGGTCTTTCATTTTCACTGAAAACTTGTCACTTGTAAATGAATACACAATAGAAAACATGTCTTTTTTTTTAATTTGTATTTTCACATTTATTTTGATAACTACTTTTTAAACATCAATGGAGCATTTGTATAAGGCATTTATTAATTAAAGTTATGCTTCCATTTGTTCATTCAGTAATTTTTTTTAATTTTATTTTTTTCTTATTAGTTACATTTTATTAACTCTGTATCCCAGCCATGTCCTGCTCCCTCCTTCCCTCCCAACCCCACCCTCCCTCCCTCCCTCCTCTCCACCGTGCCCCTTTCCAAGTCCACTGATAGGGGGGGACCTCCTCCCCATTCATCCGATCCTGCTTTATCAGGTATCTTCAGGACTGGCTGCAAAGCTCTCCTCTGTGGCCTAACAGGACTGCTCCTCCCTTGGGGGGTGGGGAGGCCAAAGAGCCAGTCATTGAGTTCCTGTTAGAAATAGTCCTTGTTCCCCTCACTATGGGAAACCAATTGGTTACTGAGCTACCACAGGCTACATCCGAGCAGAGGTTCTAGGTTATATCCATACATGGTCCTTGGTTGAATGTCAGTCTCAGAAAAGACCCTGTGCCCAGATATATTTGGTCCTTGTGGAGCTCCTATCCTTTCCCCATCATACTAACTCCCCTTCTTTCATATGATTCCCTGTACTCTGCTGAAGGTTTGGTTATGAGTCTTAGTATCTGCTTTGAAAACACTGCTAGGTAGAGTCTTTCAGATGCGCTAAGTAGACTCCTGTCATACGGAAAACATGTTTTTGTACTTCTATTTAAACTGGGTTCTTAATTGTAATAAAATATGAAGTAGAGTCAGGTTAGCTCTTGTGGCGTGGCCACTGCATATAACCCACAGGGGATTTTCTAACAGAAGGATTAATAATTTGTATGTAAAAATACTTTTTGTCTCTACATGTGATGGAAAACTATCAGTTACCTACATTCTTTGTTTGTGGTCCCTGAAATACTATGTGCTCTGAAGACTGTCACCAGTAAAACAAAAAACAAAAAACAAAACACAGTTTCTAGAACACACCTGTCGTGTAGGTGTTTTTGAAACCTATTTCCCATGCATCACTACTTCAAAGTTGTGATAGGTATCTGTCTGTTACTTGGCCTCATTA